TATTTAGAGACAGGAATACAATGCGGTGAGATGCAATGTAATATAATATTTATTGGTATGTCATTAAGAAGATTAAGCAAAAATTCATTTTTTATAGTTAATAAAAATGAAAAGTCTATAATACCTCTCAATATGAAAAGAAAGAAAAAGAAAAAGAAATCATTCATTACTAGATTCATTGTCTCCCCAGGAGAAGGTGATAGTGACAGTGGAAGCGACGAGGGTGGCAGCTGTGGCAGTAGTGGTGTTGCCTGTAGCGAATGTGGTAGTAGCTGCTTAGGGCGGTGATGGTAGTTGTGGCAGCAATGATTGTGGTGGTGGTAATGGTTGTGGCAGCTGCAACATCAAGGGAGGTGATGGTGGTAGTTGTGATGTTGTGGTGGTGGTGGCAATGATTGTGGCAATATTGCAAGGATGGCCGTGGTGATAACGACATCAATTGTGGCAGTAGCAGTGGGGGGTAGCCGTGGCAGCCGGGGGGTGGTTGTGGTGGTAGCAACGGTGGGGATGGGTTAGTGAGTGGAATAAGATGATACTCCTCCAGTCCTTAATATAAGACTCATTTAACTAATTTGATTAGATTAAGGAAGTTAGGTAAGTTAGTTAATTATAAGAAATGTAACATGTTTTTCCTAAAATACCATAATTATCTTTCTTAATACCCCTTCTTTTTTCTACTTGATTATGGTTTAGGGAGTATCTATAGGAGTAATTTAGAGAAAACTGATAAATATGATAAATGGGTCTTGTATTTAGGACCAAAATTAACTCAACGATTGGGTCTTATATTAAGGACCAAAGGAGTATAAAGATAAATGGGACTAAAGGGCAAATTAGACTTTTTCAAACATTTAATGAGTGGTACGAAGTATTCAAAAGGGAAGTATAAATGGGGATTACCATTTTTTTTTTGTAATCGTCACTACCATGGTAAAACCTATTATCATACTAAAGAGCAACAAAACACCATCCTCTTATTAATGCAATCATGACTACCATTGTAAACATGTAATGGGGTTGAACCAAAAGGGCTCTTAATCATCAAATCAACCATCATCCATCAATTGGATCATCAATCAATCAATTGATCAATTAAATATATTCTTGAAATCTTCTTATATCCAGTTCATTTAAAAATGGATTAGTAGGACATTATGAAATTCAAATATATTCAATTAATGAGATTTGAATAATATTTTGATTAGAATTTGAATATATTAAATTACATGGGGAGTATTATAACTAAATGAGATTTCAAATGAAGGTTCAAATAGAAAAATTAATACTTAATTTCACATTTGAATAATGTCTTAATTGAAATTTGAATATATTAAATTGAATATGGAGTATCATTATTAAATTGGATTTTAATTAGAGGCCCAATAAAGAAATTAATAATTAATTTTAAAATTAAAAAATATCTTAATTGGATTTAAATATATTAAATTAAATGGGAAGTATCATTATTAAATGGGATTTGTATTGGAGGCTCAAATAAAAAAATTAACAATTAATTTTGAATTTAAACAAAAATGGATTGCATCAAAATTGAATTTGATTTATTATTTATTATGATTATAATAATTCTTGAGTTACCTAAAATAATTTAATCTATTAAAATTTCAAATCTAATTAAATATACTAGTCGGTGCATCAAGGAAAATTTTTTTAGTTAAAAAGTATAAACAGTGTGACTTGTGCGGGGTACTAATTTTAATTATAAATTAATAAATATGATCTTATATTATTTCAATTCTCTTCTCATTTATTTTTCTCTTCTACGAAAGATGGTATTTTAACAAGAATTTATGATTTTCATATTTCTCAATCTTTGAGGTGAGGAACAAGTGAGATTTTGTTATTCTTACACCTTGCTTTTCTTTTCTTTTTTTCAATTAAAATAAAAAGCCCACAATATAAGTTAAAATTGCATGGATCATATCAAGGGGAGAACTCGGAGTGCCCACGCTAGGTTGACTTGACTTGACTTGACTGTGGGGACCCAAGCCCCTAGTGCCTACGCTAGCTAGGTTGACTGGACTTGACTGTGGGGACCCAAGTCCCTATCGTGTGGGACGGTGCGTGGAAAGAAGCATGCGGACTCGTCCCAAATAATAGGCATTAAAGACGAAGCTCTCCCATTGGCCATATTTTCCTCTTATACAAAAGATATTATTTTAATATCTTTAATATTATTTTAATATTCTCACTTACCAGTGATAAATTTTTAATATACTTGTTTAATACTACCTCCGGTCTTTAATATAAAATCTCATTTGACTTTTATTTTATTTCTAATTATAAAACCTCAATCCACTTTTTTTCTTTTATTTATACTTTTTTTCAAGATAGTCTTTCTAATAATGATAGCTTTAACTAATACATTTGATTAGCAATGATATTTTAAGAAAGACAACACCTATTTATTACAAATAAATAATTTAACTTATTTTTTTAATCTCCTCAAATTAGTCAACTAGCTCTTATAATTAGGATTGGAGATAGTAGATGATTTGATTTGACTATTTTTTTTTTTGGCAAAAGTTGATTTATTATAGCAAGGGAAGGCTCCGAGTAATTAGGACCGGTTGACTTGACTTCGGTGGAGAAAGATTTTCATCTGCATTTTTCAATTATCAATATTTGAGGTCGGTGAGATTTTGTACTTTTCATCCCTATTTTTCCCAATTAAAATAAAAAGCCAATAAGATAATTTTAAATTGTATGGGCCATAGCAAGGGAATGCTCCGAGTAATTAGGACCCATTGACTTGACTTCATTGTGGGGGCATAGTAAGTCAAAGTCGTGTGGGAAGGCACATACGCACAAAACAAATAACATCCTAAAATTAAACATGAATAACGGTTATTTATAAAATATTAAAATTAAAACAAAATATTTCCTGATATAAGTAGGGTTAGAGCACACATTTAGTCGGAAAATTTTCATAGCGGTGGGAACCCATAAATTTTTTTAGTATACATTTGTCTAAAAAAATTTAAAATCATAACAATGTTATTTTTTACAGTGAAAAATGTTAATTGTCAATATTTATTTCATAATAGTATGAGACAATTCTGTTACAGTTTCAAAGCATCCAAAAGAAACTTTTGAGTACCCTGCTCCTAAATAAAAACTTTCACATAACTTATCCATATAACTAAATAATAAGAAAGAGAAATTTGTGGAAAATATGAGATTTGTAAGAAAGCACACTTGGAACATTTTTATTGGAGAGAACATGAATGACGTGACACTGCCAGTATAGTATTTCTCATTTCCTTGAAGCTCTCTCCTTTTACGCACGCTTCTTTAGCTTAGTGATTTTTATCTGTACACATCGGTAACAATTATCAATTGTCAATTTTTACACACACTTTATCCAATTAACTTTGCTGATTGAAATTTCAAAGATCTATCACGCGTATCTTTTTTCCCCTCCCTTGCAGATCACGCGTTTTTGTTTGGGAACAACTCATTTAATTTCATGAGTCACTCATATATAATTCAAATAAAACCAATTACCAAATTTTTAATGGGCGTTGGTGCAAAGATGAAGCGGTTCCAATTTGATAAGCCAATTTGTAGAAAAAATGGGAATAGACATATCTATCTATTACTATATAAAAATAGGGTACAAAACAGGATCTGATGAGAAATTGTCAAGTGGCCTCACTATGACGCAAATAAATAGGTTTTATTTTTCTATTTTTGTAAAAATTAAAATTTTATGCACACCTCTCTTATCTATGTGTTCCTCATCCTGTTTTGATAAAATTGGTAGTTATCTCTCATAATGAATTTGCCACTTATCTCACATTATTTCTATTTAAATTATTTTAGTTGAGTTGTTATTTACATTTTAGAATTAAAAGTTATCTTAAAAAATATCTTAAATTTAAAGTTAACAAGAGTTATTTATTCCAAAAATATTTATTGTTTATTCTCATTTGAATTGCATGAAATAACTTCCTTTATTCTGAAAATCATGGCAAGTATAACAGCCATGATATATTTTTAAAATTTGAAATTTACATTAATTTTAGTGTTAATAAATATTTTAAATTTTAAATTAAATAATACAAAAATAATATAACTTCCCAATCCTATTAACCAATTATTTTTTATCTATACAGTTTCAACAACTTAAAAAGATATTTAATTTCTCTCTCATACCTTCCTTTTTTAATTTATTGGTTGCTTCTTCAATAATTTTAAATAGAAAAATAAGTGTGAGCATTATTTTATAGATGAGAAATGGCCCATTTTGTCATTTCTTAGTTAATAGAATGGTTTTAGATTTTAGATTTTTATAACTGAAATATCTAAAATATTTAATTTTTAAAAAGCATTATATATATTATCATCAATCAAATAATATTCCAACTTGAAAAATATAACTATTCTACCGCTATGGTGATAACGAGTGCCACAAAAAAGTGGAATAAGCTCCAAATCATTTTCAAAACATGTTTAAAAATCTATTATTGGAGCATACTGTGCTAGAGGAAAGGAATGGGAGAGAGGCTTCTTGGTTCTACCACCTTGCAACTCGCATGCCTTGGTCTTTTGAGTTTGAAAAAATTGACTCACATCGCAATTATATTTGTAGCCCTTGAAGAGGCAATCAAATTCACAGTGACCGGTGGAAAAAAAAAACCAAACCATAAGTGAAGATCCCACTACCCAGAGAGCGGACCCCACGGTGCTGTAGGAGAAGGATCATCGTGCAAAAAAACATGAGATAGGACCAAAGATAACACAGAGAAAACCTAAATGGATGGTGAATTCATACCCGTGCAAATGCACGGGTGCTGAACTAGTTGTGGAAAAAATGCAGTTATATTGGTCAAAGTGGCCACTGGGAGAAGGAGTACGGAAGGAAGAGGGGACCCTTTCTTAACAGATTCTGTCCATGTATTTTTCCATTAATTTTTTTGAAAAAAAAATCAATATTTATGATTTAATATTCAACAAGTGCATGCCATCCACACACGTGGCGCCAATCACCCTCTTCACTCTCCAAATAAATAGAGCCTTCTGCTCTCCTCCCTCATTCCAGAAAAAGAGAGGGAGAAAGAAGATGAAAAGAGGATGATGGAAAGGAAAATAGAGAGAACGTGTGAAAAACTTGCGAGAAAATTATAGCTTCGCTCATCTAACAACACCATAAGGGAGGTAAACTCTTGAAGCTGGTATACAAATTAGACATTAGAGTTTAGACACTTCACTTATAGCTGTAAGCCGAGGTCAGTATGTTATACATCTACACCTTCCACTGTTTTTCTTTCCTTTTTTTTTTTCCCCTGCATTATCATCATCTCATATTTAGTTTGATTTGTTTTCCCTGTAGGGATAATAATGATATGATTTAATTGTTGTATGTAGGTCATAATATTACTCATTCATCAGATTATACTCCATTAGTTTTATGGCAATTGACCAAGAAGCATCTTCCTCAAATTCCTCCAACTCCAATTCAGCCCTAAGAACATGCAAGTATGACATTTTCTTGAGTTTTAGGGGCGAAGATACTCGTAAAGGCTTCACAGACCACTTGTATCATGCGTTAAAAAGGAGTGGATTAAGAGTTTTCAGAGATGATAATGAACTTGAAAGAGGAGAAGTCATCTCTGAACAACTCAAACAAGCAATTGAGGACTCTCATTTTGCAATTGTTATTCTCTCCAAAAATTATGCCTCTTCTTCATGGTGTTTAACTGAGCTCCAACATATTCTTTACTCAAGAGACAATGTGGGTCAACAAGTTTTTCCCATATTTTATGATGTAGATCCATCTCATGTACGGCATCAAAGCCAAAGTTTTGCTGAAGCTTTTGATAAGCATCAAAAGCGTGGAAAGGACAATAAAATCATGGAAAGTTGGAGAGATTCTCTCACAAAAGTTGCTAACTTATCTGGTTGGGATTGCGAGGATCGGTAAGTTACTTTGTCATTGGGTAAAATTATGTGACATATACATAGTAGTTATTATAATCAGTTAATGGAACATTAGATCTACGGGCAGTCAAGCTATTTGTTTGACTTTTTATGTGTCTTATTTTAAAGATTAAAAAAATTTCATTAAGAGGAACATTTTAGTTGTAATGCCGAACATATCAAATACTACAAATGTCATGAGTCTCTTTTATTGCGTATTAAACGGTTCCTTTATTTCTATCTGCCGCTAATTGATAAATGAGCTTTTACTGTTAAACTCTATAGGAAAAAAGTATGTAGTAAAACTTTTTTTTTTTTTTTACCATCCATGTTGTGTGTGGTGAGATAGACTTTGTACTATTAGGTCTTTTTTTAAAAGTAAATATACTATTTATTACAATAAATTTTGAAATTATTTTTTGATTTTGGAATTAAAATTTTTTATTTTTTTATTTTTCATATTCAAAGCATTTTGTCCTCAAACTAAACAGCTTTATCTTCGCACCTAATTAAATTAAAACACCCTCTTAAAATAAAAAATGGAATAAGAACTGCATATCTTGGCTGCCCTTATTAATACTGTCTCAATGTGTTGACAATCCAAAAGGAAAAGAATATTAACAATTGCAGACAATGAACTAACAAATATTATAATTACAGAAGAAATCAAAAGTTATATTCTACCCTTTATTTGTGTTATATATCACACATGGTGATTTATATGTTGTTGTAACTTGTAGGGCTGAAGCAGAACTTATTGACACGGTCGTTGAAGAGCTGTGGACCAAATTACGTCATAGACTACCACCTTATAGTGAAGGACTGATTGGAATTGATAATAAAGTAGACCAAGTGGAGCCACTACTTGAGATGGGTTTGAATGATGTTCGGATTGTGGGATTATGGGGCTTACCGGGTGTTGGGAAGACAACAATTGCTTGGGCTATTTTTGAGAAATATCGTAATCAATTTGAAATTAGTTGCTTTGTTCACAATGTTAGGACAGTTTCAGAAAGAGATGGTGGTGAGGTTCAATTACAAAGTCAACTTCTTTCACATCTCAAAGTAAGAAACATGGAAATTGAAAACACCTACGAAGGGAAGAAAATAATCCAAAACCGTTGTTGCAATAAAAAAGTTTTACTTATCCTTGATGATGTTAGCCATACTACCCATCTAGAAAATTTGGCTAGTAGCCCAAATTGGTTTGGTGCTGGGAGTAGAGTGATCATAACAACTAGACATTTAGACTTGTTGTGTAGAGAGCATATAGTATATGTACATGAGGTTCAAACTATGAACCCACATGAATCCCTTCAACTCTTTTGTCAGAAAGCATTTGTAGGAGGTAAGCCTTCCGAGGGTCTTTTGGAGTTGTCTAAAGCTGTTTGTGATTATGCAAATGGCCTTCCTTTAGCTCTTTCTGTTTTGGGTTCTTTCTTTTGTGGAAGAAGTAGCGTGCTCGAATGGGAAGATGCTTTAGATATGATGAAAAAAGTTCCACATAAAGATATTTTTAGGAAACTGGAAATAAGCTTTGATGCGTTAACTGATACAGAACAAACAATATTTTTAGATATTGCTTGCTTCTTCAATTGCCAGAGCAAAAACAAAATAACACGAATATTAGAAAGTTGTGGTTTTAATGCAAAAATTGGCATAACAACTCTTCAGGAAAAGTCTATGCTAAAGGAATATAACAATGTTTTGGTGATGCATGACTTGCTGGAACAGATGGGCAGGAAAATTGTTTTAGGTAAATCTTCTAATGATGTTGGCAATCGTAGTAGATTGTGGACTAAGGAAGACATTGATGAAGTTATGGAAAACAACTTGGTGAGTGTTGAATTTATTAGCTCTTGTTGTTTTTAATATATTTTATATTGTTAATTTATTGTCCATTAATTTTGATATTATTTTACTTGTGGCTAATGTTGTTTATCAGGGCACAAAAGAAATACAAGCTATGGTTTCATTCACATCTTGTGAGGCATTTTGGAATCCTAAAGCATTTTCAACATTACGTAACCTCAGATTACTCATGGTATCAAGTGATTTCAACCTTCCTCACGGCCTCAAATATCTTTCTCATACTTTGAAGGTAGTTCACTGGGAAAAATACCCTTTAGACACTCTTCCTTTTGGAAACTGGTTGTCTAAACTTGTTGATCTTAGAATGCGTCATAGCAAATTAAAGAAACTTTGGAATAAAAGCCTGGTAAGATATGCCTTATGCTTTGATGCTATCGATTATGCTAGTTAGCACAAAATAATTTTTTCATTGATTCTCATATATTTGTTTGACCAGTACTCAAAGAATTTGAAGTTTTTGGACTTACGGTATTCCAGAAACTTGATTGAAACTCCTAATTTCTCTGAACTTCCAAATCTGGAAAGATTAGAACTTGAAGGTTGTGAGGAACTTGTTGACCTCCATGTTCCAATTGGACAGCACAAAAAGCTTCAAGTGTTGAACTTGAAAGGTTGCAAAAGTCTTAGAGCCCATTGGCCAAAAAAGTTGGAAATGACTGCACTAAAAGAATTTGTTCTTTTTGGGTGCATTCATGTAAAACTTCTCCCAAACTTTGGGGAAAATATGAAAAATCTAGTAATGCTTGATGCTGGGGAGACAAATTTAGTCAAACTTCCTGAGTCACTTGGCTTGTTGACTAGTCTTAAAACTCTAAAATTAAGGGGTTGCAAAAATCTTGTTTGCCTTCCTCAAAGCATTCGCAATTTGAAACGTCTTGTACTTGTTGATGTTGCTGGGTGCTCAAAATTTGCTAGATTGCCAGAGAAGTTGAATGAAATTGAAGCCTTGGAGGAGCTGGACGCAAGTGAAACCGATATAACAGAAATACCTTGTTCCATTGGTGGTTTAGAAAAACTCAAGAAATTGTCATTCCGTGCAAGCAAAAGGTCAACGTCGAACTCTTGGAGTGTGATTCTTCCATTGAAGCACATGTTTGGGAGGCATTCAATTCATAAGGGCTTAACATTGCCAGCTTCAATGTTCAATCTTAAATCACTAACAGAATTGGATTTAAGCTACTGCGGTATTAATGATGAATCCATTCCGGATGACTTCAGTGGCTTATCATCATTGATGAGGTTAAATCTAAGTGGAAACAAGTTTAAGAATCTACCTGCTGGCTGCATATCAAATCTTTTGAATTTGAAAATTATGGCGATCAAGTCTTGCGCGGAACTTCAATCATTGCCGCAGATTCCGCCCAGATTATGGACCATGGATGCAAAAAAATGTGATTCATTGGATACAGTGGAAGGTGAACAATTATTACATGTCTTTGCTTCAATGGACCAGGTATATACATATAGTCATATATCATCATATAATTATATGTATTTATTTTGTGTTTGATCATACTATATAATTTGATTTGTGATTATTTATCGGTCTAGGTAGGAAATGGGGCACTTGATTGTTCCTCGCTGGTTATTCCTGGAAGTGAAATATTGCCATGGTGTGAGAATCAAATCGATCTTTATCTGGATCACAAAGGCCAAGCTGTAGTGATGATAGACATACCTCCTTGCGAAGAAATGTCGGGAATTGGATTATGCACTCTTATAGAAGAGGGGGATTGTTCGTGGCGGTGGAATCACAGTGTTTTTGGACATACGGCTGTCAAACACCTTTGGGAGTCTAATTGTAAGGGTGGGAAGAAAAGAAAGCCTTGTCACCTCTGGGTCTTATTTTGGAAGCCCAAAAAGGTTTTTTGTGATAGGGAGCAATTAAGGAAGTACGATTCGATTCCCTTCGTATTTCATGCCTGGCCTCACGATAAGAGAGTTTCAATAAAGTGTGGATGGCGTGTCTTCTGCAAAGTTGATGCTGAAAACAGTGGCAACTCAAAGAGTCAAAGTCTCCTTCCAATATTGGAACAACAAATGGACCGAGTAAGTCACCTCCATTAAACTCACTTTTGTTCATTTTGATTTCAAGCTACCTCCTCCATCCCTACATCTGGTGAACACTTAACCCACGTTATACACACTCTTTTTAAGTCCTAAACATAGCACCATTTTAACTAATTTATTAGTATTAAGAAAACGTGTACAATTAGTCAAATACTCCCTCCGGTCCCATAATATAAGACATTGGTTAAAAGAAAATTATGATAAAAAATGTAAGACGCTAATAGGATAATTAATGTGATTTTTTTCACTTTTGTCCCTTTTAAATATAGAAGAGATTAAAGGCAACTTTATCATTTTTTTAGGATAAAATAGGCAAACTTTATCATTTTAGGACACATTTAGTGACTACACTTACCATTTCTTAATGTGTGAGAAAAAGTTAACTAATTTTTTATATGATGCATTAGAGGTAGTACTCTTTTACAATTATTACTTTCTAACATTATACTGAATGAGATATATTAACTACAGTAGTAGTTAGGATTAGTGATAAATCCCTATTTTAATATGTTATTTGATATCTTTTTGGAGATATTTTTTAATTAAAGTGGGACAAATTACATTGATCATGGATATTTTGAATCAAATACTGATTGCATGAAATTAGAAATTTAAAAGAAAGTCTTATCATATTTTATCTCCTTTTAAATAATTGATTTTACACTTTATGATAATATCTTAATTTATCTTTTGTAGGCTAAAAAAAAAAGAAATAAAGATAGTAGGAAAGCTGAAAGGAAGAAGGAAAAAAATAAAAAAAGAAAATTGGAGACACAACTTGGGCATCAAGGCATCAGATTATGATATTATTTATATTTTTATTAATTCAAAAAGAGGACGCTGGAAATTTTCATTCACGCAATACATGGCCGCCAATCCTCCTCCTGATGGGATTCACATGTATCTCCTCTCCACACGCATAGAACAAGTCGCCAATACCCTTCAAATTCATTCCTCAACCGCAACATCAAATAAAAGACCGCACTCACGCAGCCTTCATATCCTCCTCAGCCATATACACACGCCACCTACCACCAGACCGCAATAATCCTCAATTTTCATTCAGCCACACAACGTCACTACTCACTCAATTTTCATACCTCTCCGGCGGTGAACAACAATTTTTCACATTCATCCTTCCTCTACAACCTCATGGACTCTCACTCCTTCAAACATGTTATGGATGCTGCTAGAGCCATGAGAGGCTAATCCCATTGTGCTTCTTGGAGATGGAGGAGTAGCTTGAGCTCGGAGCTTCAACCAGGAGAGTATTTAGTTTTCCAAATAATTTTTCTCTTAGACTTCATTAGATTTTTCCTATGTTAGGAATATTTTTATTTTATTGTTATCTTATTTTAATAATATATTTTGAAGATGTACTGTTGATGTATTATTTTCTACATATGCCATATGTATTGTTGGGCCAAGGATAGAAGGAGATTTGTATGGATATAAATTACCGTGTGTTATGCCATCACTCGGTGCACGATCGATGGCACTTGTCAGGGCCCCTTCTTCTATGTTTTCTTTTGGCCGGGAATTCATTCGAGCCATGGGACATGTGACGCCTCTTTGTTTTATTTGCAAAGGAGGGGAGCCATAGTCCGAACTTGAGCTCTATATCTTTGGCCGGATATATCTCTAGTATCAGTGAGCTTGGAATAATTTAATAAAATAAATTAGTTCCTATTGGACTATGTGTTAGCCTATGGCTGCAGTTAGAGTTATAAGGGTGGACACTGATATAAAGGAGGCAGCATATTGCATTATTTTTGGATACATTGGAAAAATGATGTTAGTATATTGTTGAATTAAAAATGAAATTGAGTTGAAGGTATGAATCTGTGATTTCCATACATAAATACATATATATACTCATATAAGCAGATTTTTGTTTATCATATATGATTTGCTTGTATAGGTTAGAATTTCAGTAGTTACTGAGATGTTTGATTTCATCCCTTATATTAATATTTTCAAGTGAAGAATCTAGTAGGAATCAAGGAAAAGCACCGATAGAGTAAGTCGTGAAGGCTTATGTGCTCCATAAGCACATGCTATGTTATATTTTTATTTGCCATGACTATAGTCTTCAATGGTCTATTTTGTTATGTCAGGAAAAAAATATTTTGAAATTATGACTTACTGGAGTATTAGAAATTACATATGTACTTTTAAATGAAGTATTTAATTGTGTATGTGGATACAATTATGTGAGGTTTATATGTAGTATGGAGATTGGTACTTATATTAGATGTTGCATTCAGTGGATTGTTGATTGATTTGTAGCACTTTCTTTGCTATTTTGATCAAGTCTCCATGTTCTAGAGCTCTTGATTAAATTGCTAGGTGTCTAGGTCTGGTTAGTAGTTTGGAGATCCTACTGTGAGTCTAATAAGAGCTAAGCATTTTAAAGCATCTCTAATGCAATAAGGTCCCATTCAGTAAAAAACATTAAAAATAACGGGTAAGGAATAGGACTAGTATTGAAAAAACTATTAAAAGAATGTTTAGTTTGAGGGATTGCTTGTTATTTGGGATTGGGCAAATTAATATTGGTGGGATTGGGGAGTACCAAAGAGAAAGGTGGTATTCTCCAATCCCACCTATGCCCAGTCTCAAATAACAAGTAATCCCTCATACTAAACACTCTTTTAATAAGTTTTCTCAATCTCAATCCCAATCCTCATCCCTTTATTTTTAATACTTTGTGCCAAATGGAAGCTAGAGGAATTCAGGTGTCTAGGTGAATTTTTGAAGTTATTGATGTTGGCTAGGGAAGTTGTCTTCACTAGCTTTATTGCTTAGTTAGGTAATTGAACTTAACAACATAAGTAGAACTAGGAATGTTAAGTAAGTCACTCATCAAGGAAGTCTCCCATCACCCATTCCATGATCCGTTTCATTCATAAAATTGGAAAATCATAAAAAGTATACTAGCTTATACTAGTTAAAAATAGTTAATTCACTTCACAACATCCCATATAGTTAACTTGTAATTAATACGTAGTTAGCTAGAGGTTTAGTAATTAGCTCCTCAATAGAGATCGACCTAGGTAGCATTGCTATAGTGTATAGTTAGTCTAGTTTATTTGATAGTTCCCATAACATGCCTTGTCAATGACATAATAATATTGAATAATAAATAACTATATAGAAAATATTTGAATCCTTTTGATATAAAAGTAACTAAATATTTATACGTTAAATTTTAAAAAATAAAATTATTTTAAAAATAATCGTGAAGTTTTAATAACCATATGGATAATAGAAGTC